AAATATGAAACAAGTGATACAACAAATGGATAAGGGGCTGGAACTCTTTGTTTAGGTATTTCTGTCGTATTTAAAAACGAATTTCAGGTTAAAATGCCTTCAAACCAGTTCGACTTACATTTCACTTTGCCAGAAGTGCCTTGATCCTTTGATTTTTATTTCTTAATTGAGAATGATGGTAAGAATTAACTTTTGTGTTCTCTGCTGTTTAGGGAGATGTGAAGTGACCCCACTATACATATAGTTGGTACTATTGACAGAGTAGAAAGGTGTAACATTTACTGTGGCAAGCTAGTATTCAAGAGATTGTCATTAATACTGGAAGCTTACTACTGGTTTAAATTATCAATCTTTTGTTCTATCCACACAACTTGCCTAAACTAGCTTATGCTACATGCAATTTATGTCTGTACTTAATTTGCAACTGTAAAATTAACAATGAAGTTTTTGAAAGTTTTGTCCAAATTTCATTGGAAACGAATATAAGGAGTGATCAGGTGAATTATTGTCATGTTCCTTAAGAGTGTTTGAGCTTCCCGTGAGAACTAAAAAATTTCTTAAGTGACTGATTTATGATTTGTTTGCCCTAAAATTGGCACAGCCAAACCCCTGACTACAAAATTATAAATTTCCTTAAATAGCCATCCAAGCCGGTGCCCATTACTGCAGAATATGCAATGTCAAAGTCCCCTTTTGACTTAGATCTCATTTCTCTAAAATCTGATGGATGTAAATCATCCATTTTCATAAAGAGATCAACAAAACTCTCCACATTAGTTTAATCTGACCTCATTTAGTCTTGTTCCCAGGAAAAAAGGCTTTTGGAAAAATTTTGTTTTTCATCCTCACTGTTAAATATCAAGTTCTTTCTTGCTTGGCATGAAAAAAGAGTCTGCTCAGACCATCCAATTGTCACTCGACGCAGGTGTGTACCAACGGTCTCTCACATCAAACAAAAATTTATAGAACATGCGCAAACAAACTGGCTCTCTGCTCATCCTTTCACAATATTCACGGGTTTCATAATTTCCCCGCTGACCAAATTTACTGTGTACTCTTACCGTCGACGAAACGCCTTCGATATAGCGTCACCCAATTCTTGGACATCGAACACAAGCACTACTGGACATCAGTGGCCCTGTATTCTATAGTTAATCCGTGCAACATAAGAAGGTTTATACTTTTAAGCGATTCATTTCGAGGAATCCTGGCAAGAATCATCGAAATGGTGCACTATGGCAGATATAATTCTCATGGTGCGTGTCACTTAGGGAGCCGATCGGAAAGTGGACAACGGCGGTTTCGTCAATACAGAAATAAGTCCTTTCCTGCCAAAACGAAGGTGTAAATGTCTCAATTCATCATATTCAAGCCCACTTCCAGCAATTTTATCAGCCATATTCTGCTTTATAGGGCCGTCACCACCACTATTTTAAAGTTCCTATTTAAATTCACGACTTATACGCAAGAGTGGGTTACAATTTCGTAGGAGAATGGGAATGTCAAATGAAAATGCATTGTGACCTGCAAGGACTGTGCAAACGGGCTTTGATGTGTTCGAAGCAGATGCGGTTGCGCTTTCCTTTAGAAAGGTTAAGAGATCAGTTAGTGCACTTTTTAAAGGTAAAGTTGCTAGAGCTTGACTCTCTTTGAATAGAGTACGCTTTCCGTTAACAGTTTTCACAATGAGCTGGTTTACTTTTGACGTGTGAGGATCGATGTCTCTGTTGGGAAGAATGCAGAACCGAAACTGTTTGCCAGAGTGATCTACGACAGCTACCTGGCAAAGTTCTGCTCTGTTAGCTCTCCAGTGGAATTTGTTTCCGTGTCAAATAAAACAAAATTAGAGAATTTATGATCGTCGAACTTTTCCTCTCTGGTACATGGTCGCTGTGTGAATTTTTGTACTGCATTTTCATATTTTTCTTGTTTTGTTTTTGTAATGTGAACAGCATTAAGTACATTAGTTGACAATGTAATGTTGACTTCGCCTGATGTCTCGGATAATTTCAAGTTTAGTCCAACGTTACTTTCATACGTTCTTGTCTCTTTGGCATCTTTTCTAGCTGCGTCTGAAAATGTTTCGCTTGCTTAACTGTGATCTTCATCGTTTAAATTCTACAGTTGACTTTCTACATTTGTGCATGTGACTTTTCCTATCCATGTTTTCGTTGAGTTCTTTACTAAAATCTCCGGCTCAATCTTAGCCACTCTAGTGTTCTTGAGATCTATTCGTAACCTATATTTTTGGTGAGACACAACAGGACACTTGAAAATCATTACTTCCGCTTACTCCATAGTGGCGAAATTTTAGGTTCTTGTACCCGACTACACCACTGAAAGATTCATTGCTTTGGGAATTAGCTATAGGGATAAGTTTCTCTATAACAGTGTCTGTGCTATGTTCTCCAAACAGTGATGTCAGCATTGAAATTTACATCCCTGTGTTTTCGAAGTTGTTTTTCATGGACGGGTTTCCCATGAGGCAGATCTTTATGGATGTACTTGGAGGAATCCGTTTTAGAAGCACACCATGAATCATCAAAAGCATATGGAATTATGTTCTGCACTGCAATTTTCATGCAGGTGTGATTTCTCTTATTCTGCACAATACAATATGTAAAACATTTTACAAGATAGTTAATGACTTTTTGGGACAAAATTGAATAGTTTGGAAATTTGCTGCGTTGACTTAGATTACTCAAGCGTGTTGTAGAAGACCTCTCAATGTGGATGGTGTCACTCCACCTTTCTACACCATAAGGGACGTTTTGCTTAATATGCAGTTCAGTTGTGGAATCTTCATCTCCTGAATATGTGGATTATCTCCCATTTGATTTAAGTGCATCGTTAAAAAGTTTCAGAGCGGCAATAGGCTCCACAGCCTTGGATAAACCTGTATGGGTTTTTCTGCAGTCGTGCTGTTTTGGTGTTTTTCCTGCTTGTTTCGCAGCAGAACAGCAGCGAAATGTTTATTTTTGTAATATACTCCAACACTTTTCCAGTGGAAAGGCCTATAACTGCTGTATGGCCAATCGTTGAATTATAGCCACGCCCCAGATTTTTGTCATCCCATATCATACGAACACGAAACTGACACCAATTTTTTTTATTTATTTCAGCACCACTTTCAGTTGCTTGCATTAAATCCCCTTGTGTCTCGTTGGAGTGTATCATTCGAATTTGTTTTTTGTGGAGGAAAGACCAGATTTACACACGACATTGCAGCAAACAAACAAGCAAACTCTCACAACTTCAAAATAAAAAATTTGAATTTATTTAGAATTGCTTTCTTCGCCGTTTACTTAATGAACAGAGGCTCTTCGTAAATGAATTAATCGTCGATGAGAGTGAATAATATTTTCCATATGATCAATGACTGTTTTTGAAGAAAACATTGTCGTGACAGTCCTTGCCAAACTAGTTTCGTTGTTTTTCAAAAGTGTACACGCGCTTTTTTTTTTCTTACGCACTCTCCAATTGACAGGTGTTAGATTGTGACAGATACTTGTAAAATAATGTTTCAAGGTTTGTTTGGAAGCCCTTTAAATCACCTTTATCATCACGAAAATGGAAATTGTTTCGGTGAAGCATCTCTCTTTAATTTGCCACACCTCTACTTTAACCACCATTTACTCGCTCAAAAATGGTTCAGTTCATGGAAAGAATTTCGATAAGTTTTTTAAAACATTAAATATGTTATTTACCGGCTAAGGGTCGGTCCATATACATCCTCGGAGACCTAGGGGCTGTGAGTCGATTTCAAGTCAGGGCGGAAGAGCTTCCGCCCTGACTTGAAATCGACCCACAGCCCCTGGGTCTCCGAGGATGGTCCATATAGTGAAAAATTGTGACCGAGATCTTGAAAATGCTGGAAAAATGAAATTTGTCGATTTTGTGAAATTTACTGAGAATATAGGGCCGCCGGCCATTTAGAGTTTTGAAAACCTTGAGCAGCAGTCGAGCTGAAAAAAGTTCTAAGTGTCACAAAACATGGTTTCGTCTTCTGAGCCCAGCGTAAACCAAACACTAGACTTGAGATTCATAAAGCATTTTAAGATCGCTTGAACTTTCTAAATCGACATATGATAGTTTAGACTTGCTGGAATTTTTCGATTTTGTGAAATTAACCGAGAATGTAGGACTGCTGGCCATTTAGTGTTTTCAACACCTTGACCGGTTACTGGCCATATAGCCACAGCGTTTACTTAATGATTCTTCCGTTTTTTTCTTTATTTTTGAGGTCTTCTCTAAGCGACCGAACGCGCCGCGGGTGTTGTGTCGGCCTTTTTCAGGCGTAAATGGTCTAAAAATACATTGGCTGTCGTTACTGGAATTCCCAGAGTCCATAATGTGGATATAGATATTTTTTACACTCCTCTTTAGATATGAATCGTGCGATCGTATCGAGCCGCTGTATTTGGTTTGCTCGGCGACATTTTTAATGCTCGCGCCATGTTCGGGTCCAGATCTCGCGCGGTTAAAAAACCCTGCAGAGCCACCTCGAGCAGAGGGCACAAAAATTGCCACCTACCCCACAAAATTCCTCTAGAAGGGGGAACTTGGGCTCATGATACACTGTATCGATGCTTGCACTAATTCGCCCTTTTTTCGTCCTTTAGCTCACAATTAAGTTTAATTACTTTAACAAAGTTTTTAGTGGTTAGAAAAATCGCTCCCATAGGTACATCATTTAAATCTTACATTTTTTTCATTATGTCACGATGTATTTTTTTGTGGTTGTGAGCCCTGAAAGAGATTAAATGTAATCAAACCTATGTGCGGGCTGAGTATTGATGTCGATCGACACTATCAGTTCTTCCGTGACAATTATTTCCGGACTTCGTGACAACGCCCGGCCACCAAATACCGGATGCGTGTCGTCGGAAATTCCTCGGCTCTTTTCGAAATCAATCGCGTGAAACCGGACTCTCATCAAACCAAGCTGATATTTTGTGCGCATGACTCACCCGTATGAACGCTGACCACAGGTGTGCGAAGTGTGAAGTAAAGAGGGAAGTGGGTAAAACACTGTTGTTGTTGCATGCTTCGCCATGTCTTATTGGGGCATGTGTGCCTAGACTTTTAGTATCTTTATGGCTTAAAATATGTCTTCAAGGATGAAGATACGCCCTTCGACAGAGATCTGTGCCGATTGTAGCGCGCCCGGTAGGTTTGTGCCTTGCTGTCTTACGGATGAATAGTAGCATGCGAATTACTCACTTGATTTAACGCCTAGTTTTGATGTTTGAAGATTTCATTCTTGTTCTCGGGGATGTTAGATTGATTTGAAATTTTTAAAAAATAGGACCAGAATGGGCATCTGTGAATCGCGGCGTGTTTATCTGCGACGAATGCTGCAGTGTTCACCGCAGTTTGGGTCGTCATATTTCCCAAGTGAAGCATCGGAGACATTCTTCCTGGAGTCCAACTTTACTAGCGGTTCGTACGAAATTCATTATACTAACATTCTAGTAGAAGTAACTATTTTCATATGCTGTGTTTTTAGTGTCAACAGCGGCTTCTTTATTGTTTAAGAGCAATTTTTTTTCATGATCCAACATGTGTGATCGATTACAAATTTGTATTTTTTCTGATCATTCGCTCTGTTGTGAGCCCATCAATTGAAGTAACTTCCGATTGAACCTACAATCTATAAGATTATCTAAAATGTATGTGCGTTGTATTAAAAAGCATAGGAAAAAAATTTAAGTTTGTTGTAAAGTTGTGTTTTGTTGATCTTTGTAAAGGCAAGATTACACCGATTGCATCCTTTACAGTTAGTGAGGTCTCATTCGATCGTGTCTTTTGAAGAGGTCATTGTCTTTTACAAATGACACTTCTTTGTTCCCAATGAGAGCAAGGTCCAAGATTTTGGCGCAACTTGTGTAGAATGATGTTTAATAATTTTTTTTTAAAATTAAAAGTTACATTTTTGGCGTGAATTGTCCTCGATTACTAACCAATTTGTGATATTTCTACTGTCAATGTAAAATCAGTTCGTCATGTGAATCATTCAGCAGAGCTGACTATTGCAGCTGGCATTTAGGAAATTTTTGAAAACTTAATTGCAAGAAAATAAGCGTTTCTTTGACTTCATCGAGCTCAAAAAAAAGAATTTTAACTGAACATGCTTAAGATTTAATTTTGGTAATTAAGAAATTCAAGAGCCCTTGTCCGAAAGTGTTGCATATAATTGTGCAAAATGAAAATCAGAGAGGATCCTCAAACTTTGTCAGAACATGCAAGGAGACATTTTTAAACTGTTTCAATTTAATAAGAACTTTATTTTTCGTGAATTAATGAGAATAACATTGAATAAGAGGCTTTGAATTGGCTGTAACCATCTTGAAATTACACAGTTAAAACTTGTTCAAAAATTCAACAAGGAAGTAACTCTATAAATGATTTCATTCCTAGAAATAGGACATGTTTAGCAATAGACTAAAATTGAACTGTCAAATTTAAAAGCATCACAAAATTTTCGTGAGAAATTAAGTTTATTAACTTATTTTCTTTTCTTTTGAGGGACTACAGTATTTACAACTTTTGATATGGTTTAAGGTATATAGGGGCATATATTTTGCTAATTGCATTGTATGAGCAACAAGAATTATTGCCTGCTTGTAGTATTAGTTAAACCATCCTATTGTATCTATATTTTGAGAAACAGAAGGGAAGGTTTAACTAATTTAAAACTTAGTTGCCAGAAACCACCATAATGCATATTATTAAGGTAATTGACTGAGTTGCCACAGGAGCCAGAAATGAAATGAACTTCCCAGTGTGGTGCAAAAATTAAAAAATTTAAATAACCATTTTCATGGCTACATCTTGTCTCTATACCTGTCTCATGACAGAGGCTAACAGTCCATTGTAGAGTGCAAATACACCTTGTGTTGGAGCGATATGAACTGCCACAGACAAAAGTCTTGGTTTAGCTGCTTTGTGTGCGAGTAGTCGATATGGCGGCAATAGCGACCTTTAGTAGTTTGTGTCGATTTTCCTTGCCACTAATTCTTAGTCTTCAGCTCTTTGAAAGGAACAACCATGACATACAACAAAATGCTCTTCTTTTGATGAAAGTCTTATTTATTTGACTTTCACTGAGCACAAACATATAAATATGATAAATAATAGTTAGATGACAGTTAATGTAAGTTTGTAAAAAAAGAAGAAGAAAAAAAAAACTGAAAATAACAATAGTGAAGAGAAAAACTCAGTGAGGGACAGTCATGACAGAGCAAGCTCCAACTAGGTGAAAGCCCAATAAAAATAATGGTAGGGGAGA